TCCCGCGCGCCCCTCCCCGGGGGTGGTCCCCGGCGGTGGTCCCCGGCGGTGGTACCCGGCGGAGCCGCGGCATCGCCCGGTCGCTCCGGGGCCGCTCTGGGAGCCCGGTGTGCCCAGAAAATAACTTTCTGAGAAGTGTGGGCTCTTCTTTTGTCTTTTTCCCTACTTTTTAGCGCCTAGTTAGACAGCTAGCCGCGGTTTTGCTTTATGGCTTTTTGCCGGCTTCCCTCCTCTCAGGGGCTGAGGTAGTGCGGTGCAAAGGGAGAAGGTGGGACAGCTGCGGAGCGCCGTCAGAAGTCTCTGGAAAACGCCTGCTGGCAAACTAAGAGGGCATCCAGTTTTCTCAGGACGGGATTTATTTCTCTTCTTTTTGGGACGACGGGTAAAAAGCTCAGAATTTCACTTTCTGAACTTGTCTAAACCAGCTTTTTCCTGCTTCTACACAGTCGCATTTAATTAAATGTGCCTAATTTAAGCAAAAGGGCTGCTAAACAATAGTCTGTAACGTGTAGCACAAACCCGTATTTCCTCTCTCCAAGACAACAAAGCAGACAACTTTGGGAGTTTCCTTTCTGCTGGGTGCTTCTGAATTTTTTTTTTTTTCCTAAATATGTAAAGCTGAGCTCTCAGCTGGTGTCAATTGCTGCTGCTCTGCTGAAGTGTGATTTTGCTGAATTGCAGCAGCGGAGAACCCAGCTGTGGCTCAAGAGCCTTGCTTTCAAAATGTACCCCCAAATAACCACTGTTGAGAGAACATCGAGTTTGTCCGGCAAAGCGCTTCAAACACAGATAAATACTTTCCTTTCAAGGAGGCACGCAATCTTAACTATTCCTGCTCCCTATTGGTGTATTTGCAAAGGATTTTTTTTCACTGAATAATTTCCCATTATCAAATGATACAATACCGTGAGAATCTTGCTTCCTGGCAGCTTCCCTGTTTCTTCATACAAGGTGCTTCACCTCCTTTCTCTATCCCAGTAAGTCTATTTTAACACCATGTATGTGGCAGAAGTCTTGTTCTCTCTTGCCTTGTGCTTGTGATGTGAGTAGTTGAGGACAGCGAGGATGGTAGTAGCAGATGAGCCTCAGCATTGGTACTTGTGTGTACGGTTTCTGTGTTAGAGAGCATTTACAGTGCTCAGGTTGCTTCATTAATACCATGGATTTGTAGCACCAGAGTGTTCCAAGATCATCAAGTCTGGATCAGGCTCGAGTCCACAACTCAATTTCCTTGGAACTGGCCAGAAAACACATTAGATTATTTCTCCTGCCTTGAATGCTGGCTGGGGGGATAAAGGATACCTGATCTGGCAGGAAGGCTGCTAGCATGAAGGTAACCTGTCAGTGTTTTAGGAACAAACTTCAGCTTTAGTGAGTATCTGTCACTGTGATCGTGGTGGTTTTGATCTGGGACTAAAAGCCCTAAAACCAGTTTTATGGCAGCAATGGCCTCAGGTGTTTCAGGGAAGGTCAGTTGAATAAAACCCTTGTTTTTTGTAGGGATTTCTAATTCTGGCCAATTGACTCTCCGTGGGAATGTGTCAAAACATGCATTTCTAGAGGGGCATTCTTCTGCTGAGCTGTGCCTTGCTGGAGGCTCTCCATACCCACTTGTAGCGACTTTCTGGAGGGAGCCGAAATAGTACAATCCTTGAAGTAGCTGTAGGAAAAGTTTGTATCAATTACACTTTGCTGAGATCACAGGCTTTGTGCACATCTGAGACATCTGTGTGAATTCTGCTGTACCTCAGTGGTATTTGTAGTTATAGCAAGACAATGCTACAGAAAAATCCTCGTAAATCTTCATTCATTTTTATGGAAACGTTGTGTGTATTTCATTCTCTGTTCTGCCAGATGGCTGAACTGTTTCAAGTAACTTTCTCCCTTCCCAGGTAAGTGGACTAACCCTTGGTTAAGACCAGAACTGTAAAGCTTTAGCATAAAGGTGAAACTTGGGAGAGTTTTAAAGGTTTCCACTTTTTTTTTTTTAAGGATGGGAACTGTTGTAAAAGCCTGCTTTTTCCAAAACTTGATTTGCAACTCTTGAGTGAAGAGAGTTGAATAAATATTGTGATTTCTTATATACCGATAGCTTAGAAATTCTTTTAAGCCTTGGTCTGTTGTTCACAAACTTATAAGTTCCAAACACTTTTAATAAGGTGAAATATTTTAGAAGAGCTTCATCCAAGGCCATGGATCCCACTGGCCATTAGTTCAAATACTATAGGAATAAAAATGTGATTAACTTGTGTGGCTTCATCAGTGCTTTAATATGGCAAAGCTTTCTAGAAACCAAGTTGTGGATTCCTCCATGCTTACAGTCTTTGGTGAGCAGACAGCTGTTCCTGCAAGTGTAGAGGTGTTAAGATCCTGATGTGAAATACGATATTTGAATTTTGACTTCCCCTTGCCTAAATTTCTCAACTGTTTCAGCTGAATAGGTGTACAAATTCCTCACCCTTAACTGTTAAACCTGGGCCAGATTTTGTGTGCTGTTTTTTGCAGAACTGCAGAAGCTTTCAGGTATCGGTTTTTGATCTGTTCTCATCTGTAAAGCAACACGCATTCCAATAGCATTGTGCAGACAAGCGCATTAAGAGCAAATGTTGGCATCCGGGGTGCGTGAGATGACTCTCTGGAGCAGTATCAGATCCCGCACGTGTGTGTGTGGAGCAATGCTATCTATTTCAGAAATCTACTGCAGGCATTTCTGTCACTTCATTACTGTAGTAAATCATCATCACTAAGGGGAGAAAAAAAAAAATCCTCTCTATGGCTGCAGTTAGGCAAGAGCTGTGATTATGTCAGTAATGCCAGTAAGCAAATGGGGCTGGATGCCTTTGAGTTGGTGATAATATGGAGGGGGTGGAGTTGGAAGAGAGGATGGAAACAGAGATGGGTGTTTCTTTTCTCCCATCTATATCTGAAATGGCAGGGTTTGCTCTCTGGCTTTATTTTGCCATAAATACGAGTACCTGTGTTTGAACGAGGTACTTCAGCAGTTTGCTATAAATGGTACTGTTTTACTCATGACCTGGGTAGCCTTCAAGGTTGTGGGTGCTATGAATGAATGCAGGGTGGATCATTAACTGAACAGGCAAGGAAAAAATTCTTAATGCTCTTTCCACAGGGAGCATGCCTGTACATGCTGGCATGTTCCTGAGCAGTTTTTCTTAAAGCTTTTTGTGTATGGGATTACTGAAAGGAGCAGAACTGCAGCCTCTGTAATGGGAATCTCAAGTCTTCACACATCTGGAGGAAATGGAGGAGGAAAAAATAGTCACTTCTTATTCTGAACTATCTTTGTGTTCAACATAATCCTCCTAATTTGGAAGGATATTAATGTCTTAAGTAGGTGGGCACAATGATCAGAAATGTTAGTGACATGGGAAAGGCTAATGTGGCTCTTCAGGATCAAACATGCTAAGATAAGAATGTTTATTCCTGACATCTTATTTTGTACTAATCATTCTGTTGTGCTTTCAGCCTTGTTAATACCCATTCTTCTTGGGGATTAGTGTGGGTTGGGATCAGTTTGACTGTAAATCAGCAGGCAGGTCAGCATGAACATCTTGTCAAGTAGCCAGAACTAGGACTGTGCACAAGTCCTAGTGAAGCTGCTCCTGAGCACCTGTGTGTGCATTTATGAAGGCAGCCCCATGCTCTCAAGAGCTATGTGATTCCTTGGGACCAGGTTTATTAGAGTGCGAGGAGATGTTATGAGTCAATCCAGCAGTTCATGCCATCGTTTACCTGAATGTCTCCTTTTTACACCAGAGCTGTGTTTGTTCCTTACCCTTGGCTGCTACTTGTAGACATTTTACTAATCTGACATTCAGCTGTCAAAATAAAGTGCCCTTTCTTGCCTTTTTTTTTTTTTCTGAAAGGCTTTTGTCTGAGAACCCAAGAACTCTTACACAAATATATTTCCACAAGGATGAAGAATCTATTTTTGATAATTTTTTTCCTCATCAGGTAGACTGCTTAACCAAAAAGTAAATCTGATTTATGTTTTAAAAACACAAATAGAATATTTCTGAGAATTAATTTTGCTAATGCTGTCTTCTTTTGTGTGTAGTGCTGACATCCTAGAGGCAGAAGTTGCCTTGTTAATGTGGTACAGGCCAAATTCTTTCTTTTTTTAGCTGTCATAACTCAGTGTTTTTCCAGAGACCATCTCCATTATCTCAGAGCATGAGAATCAAATGCAGATTGAGGTGAGAATATTCCGTGAAGTCTTTGTAACTGAATGTGCGTGAACTGTATGTTGCAGAGATGTCCTTGCACTGCCGATCTTCAAGCAGGAAGAACCGCAGCTGTCTCCTGAGAACGATGCCAAACTGCCTCCCTTTCAGTACGTCCTCTGCACAGCCACATCACCTGCTGTGAAACTGCACGAAGAAACCCTGACCTACCTCAACCAAGGTAGGGTTTGTACTACACTGAAGGAGGGCATATTTCCTGGGAATGATTTGTGAGAGGGAGATTGAATCCCATACTTGTGCCTTACTGGGAGGGCAGTGGGATGGGAAAGAAAAGAGATGGGGAGGGGGATGGAGGAAAGGAGAAATATTTAATTTTTCACATTTATATACCAGATTGTCAACTGATATAAAGTAATGAAGTACCATTGATTTAACCGTTGACTGAAAGCAGCGTTATAGCATGCACAGTTCCCTGGGGCCAGGTACTGGCTTGATCTCAGACAACTTAAACTGCAGCTTCCTACCTTCGTCTTAAAAGGCCAGGTTAATTAAGCAGATTGGCAAACTTTGGGTTGGGGAGGGCCCTGAACATCGCAAGTCTCCAAGCGCTGCTGGAGGGCATTGCCAGAGGATGCATTAGCGAGTATCCAAGGGCTCCTTGGTGGTCTGGGCAGAGGGTGACATTGCTCCCACTGGCTGGGTGATGTGGCTGTGCTCAGTCCCTAACTTGACAAGTTGCTGGGGTTCAGTGCAGCAAGGGCCTCTATAACTGACCTCATAGGCTAATTTTTACTTCTGGCTAAACAAGCACCATGTGCTTCTCTAGGCTTTTTTTTTCCTCTTTGGCAGAATTTGCGCAGACACATCTGTGGTTGGAGTTTGGCTGTCACTTTGCAGCACCTCCTGCGTGTGGGTCCTGGAGGGATCAGACTTCTTCAGGCACAGATTATGCTTACTACTAAGTAAAACTTACTATGCTTATTTTCTGCCAGGTTGTAAACAAGGGCATTAGCCTAGCAACAAGCTGAAGGGTTTCTGCCCTGTGTTACTGAGATCCTCTCCTTTTTCAGGACACTCCCCCAGCTCTTCAAGCTTTGTGCACTGAGCATGAAGCTGACTCAGGTGCTGCTCTGGCTGTGTTTCTCTCCATGTTTATACAAAGCAGAGCTCTGACCTCCTTTGGGCTCTGATCTCAGGTGTGTCTGGCTGCTGGATCTGTGTTGCTAGCTGGTAGACCCATGGAGCCCACCTAAGAAGATCAGCCAAGTGCTGCAGGCTCTATCTGAGGAGCCAGATGTTTCCTGTCACATAAGCTGGCACTGTGCTGTCTCGCAGATCAAAAGATTCTTGAGACTTTTGACTGTCTTCCCAGTTTATCCATCCAAATACAGCAGACCCCAGGAGGTGGTACCGGGCATATCAAGGGTGAGATGGAGATGAGTCTTCCTGTGAAACACTAAACTCTTTCCTGTTTCAGAGTAAAAGATTTTCTGTTGTGAAAAGCAGTTGATGACCAAATATTTTAGTGTACATGAGGCAGTACCTGCTTTTTTTACCTTGGTGGGGCAAAAGTTGGACAACTCTACACAATACCATGAGTTTTAAAAAACTGTGTGACTAGAGCAGTCTAGGTTTTCCTATGTAACGTAAGACTGTTACTGCCTTTGCAGATAGACCATGTTGTGCTAGGCTTTCTCCTGCTTAGTATCACAAGGAGTTGTCTCCTGCTCCATCTTGACACAGTACTGACCTGTTTCCTTGGCAGACCAGCAGTTCTCTGTCTTCTGCATCTGTCTTTCATTCCTCAAGGGGGGAGGTGGGATGTGTCCTTGCACAATACACCCTGGACAGCATAAGGCTGGACAGGCCTGCAGGAACAAAGCAAGGGTGGGGCTGGCAGGAGCTGTGCAGTGGGGCAGAGTTGGGAAGGGGCTGGGGGAAGAAGCGGGCACTCCTTAGAGCTGTTGACTGGCCACAGTGGATGGAAACAGCATCTTTTCCTAGAGGGTCTTTGGGTTGATTAGTGGTAGAAGATGGTGCATCTCCTGACAGTTGAACGGCTCACTGCTTTCTGTTCCTCTTGGCAGGAGCTTCGCATCTGCCTGACACCTTCTCAGGAGCATCCTCACCTCATTTATTTAAGCTCCCAAGCAGTTCATCTTCCTTCTTACACTGAGATGCTCTGGGTTTCTTGAAAAACCTCTTGAAATTCAAGACTTCCTGTATGTAGATTTTTTTTTTTTCCTTGATCTTGCAATATACCTACTTTCAAAGCCATTCTGCTCCACTCCAGCAGGTTGCTTCAGAGTCCACGCCATTGCCTGCACTCTTGCTCCCGGCATTGACCGTTCCCGGTAGCAAGGGCAGCCCTTGACTGTAAATTCATCTGATGTAGTCTACCTTGACGCTAAGTCCATTAGACCAAAATCCCTTGCCTGTGCTAGTTAGGAAAAAGGGGTTGGAGTCTGCTCCCATGTGGATATGAGCGGCTGTGAGAAGCTTGTGTGTTCATTTATGGTAACTACAGGTATGGGGAGAAGATGCTGGACACACCTTTCAACCAACTGATCAGAGCTGGGGAGTCTAATTTCTATTGGTGGGATATCAGTGAGGATATTGCCTGGGGTTAAAAAGAGATAAGGATTTGTCTTGCAATTCCAGGACAAAGAATCCATTTGAATTGGCAGGTAACCTCCAATTTCACCTAGAAGTTTCTGTTTAGGAACTTCTACATAAAAAGGTATTTGGTCTTTTTCATGACATCTGTGTCAAAAGCATGTTCCTCATGCGTTGACCTTCTGGAATAAAAAAATAGGAGATTTGTCTGTTTAAAAGCAAATTTTAAAGTGCTTGAGTCAAATTTTCTTCTTCTTTCAGCAATACTTCTCTGTGGGAATCACTTTTGATTCTTGAGCTATATAGTTTCTCAGCAGGTACCTGTTGTGTAGGTATTTTCCCATCCCTTCTCCAAAACCAGAGGAGGATGCTGCAACTCTTTACTTTGATCTGCTCAACACAAGCCAGGGAATCCCACACTGACCTCAATTGTCCTGCCTGAGCTAGAGCGAAATGCAAGTTAAAGGCTCTGACAGAAAATTAATCCCATTAATAGAATCATGTTGTATGAGCCTGAGGAGGTATGTGAAGGGGACCTTGAGGCAGCCCAGGTCTCTGGAGCCAATACTCATGGCATGGCAGAAGAGGTGACTGACTCTAGAGCACTGTGACCCAGCTGCAATGCCATAGCCATCTCATGAAGCAATTTAGGTCATTCCTTACACCTTATCGCCTTATGCGGACTGTAAGCAAAGGGACACCTTTTGCACCTTACCCTCTTTCTGTGCTTATCATGGTCTGGCCAAACACTGTTACATAAAACATCCCTTCTTCCTTGTATGCTTGAGTTTTGGGATGGATTACTTTAGCAAATGGGTAACTTCATTAATGGTTGTCCCTCTACCCTGTCTGCGCTGGTGAGAGCTTCAGTCATAGCTGGCTCCTAGTAAGGCAGATACACAGTGGCTGTCCCAGCTCCAACAAAGCAATTGACATCCAGTGTGGTTACCTACCCAAATCGTGAGGACTGGGTTTGGAGTTTTCTGCTTGCTGAGTGACTCTTGCCACTTGCTGTCGAAATGTTCTTTCCCGACTTGAGCTCTTTGCCTCTCAGTAACTGACCTTTTGTCACCATTAAGCAGCTCTGCTCCCTGCCCAAGTGATGTGCACTTACTCCACATGTGACTGGTTCAAGGGCGGTTAGTGAGTGGACCAGCTCAGGAGATAGTCCATGCACAGAACTGGATGGAAGAAAGGTCAGGTCTGACAGAGCTATGGAATGGGGAAAGCTAGAAGAACTGGGCAGCAAATTGAAGGCCAAGTTGCATAGCAGAGAGAAAAGAGGAACTGATGGATTCAGGTGAGATCTGAAAGGGTTCCATATGGGCTAGGAAGAAGGGCTGTCCAGTGGCTGCATTTGTGTACAAATGGGAGAGGGCTCCAGGCTTGTGGAGCATAATGACTTCTCATGAGCCTTCTTGCTGGATAGACCCACAGAGGTGGTCAGTGGCATTGAGGAGGAAGAGGTCTTTGGCCTGGGTTCTCCACAAGGATGAAGGAAGCTGAGAGGACTCCTGAGCCAGAGACCAGTGTTTTCAGCAAGGGCAGGGGAAGCATTTGAGAGGGAGCATAAGGGAGTGAGCTTTGCTGTTGTCTTAAGTTGACTTGGGGACATTCAGCAGTGGCAGGCTTCCAAGCTTGTCTGCTCCAGTTTGAAACCATGACTGCTCCCTGGCTGCAGCTCTAGAACCAGCCTGTAAATGAAGTTAACTAGAGTCAAATCCTTAGCTTGGTTTCCAAAGACTGACTCATTACACTTGTCCTTCCCGATCTCTTCCCCCCCTGCCTTCCCACATTCTTTGGGAAACCAGAGCCAGCGCCCTGTTAGCCCAAACTGAATATGATCTTAGTTTGCTAATCCTTAGGGCAGTTCCTACATTAAGAGATCTTTACTGGACCTCAGGAGGATTACTCATCCGATGGGACAAAGTATAGACTTATTAGTATAGTTTCTTAACACCACTCCACCTTCAGTCCATGAAACTGGTAAAGGTGCTGTGTCCTCACATTAGGAGCTGCTGCTGGCATTGCTCCTTTGGTTGGGGTTCACATCTGTCAACAGAGCTACACTGTCCAGAAGTCTGCAGCACAAACATCGCCTAACGTTTTTGGAACTAGCCCGCCTTTTAGCACTATTTCAGTGTCTCTTGTGGATAGGGATTTTCAGACAAACAATCAACCAGCAACCATATTACAAACCGCTGCTTTAGCAAGAGGGCTTGATGCAGTTGCATATTCCATGGTCTGCAGTCATATGGGGTGTGGTTTGACCATGGCTGGTTGAAACTAGTTTTAAACACGGACAGAAATGAGAGCAATGAAGGTGGTTCCAGAAATTGCACCACGAGGAATGTGGAGGAAACAAGCACTGTACAGTAGATCTGAATACTAATAAATGTGGGGAAATAAAATCATTCCTTTAAAAAACAAAACAAAACGCCAAAAAACACAAAAACCTGAAAGTCTTTGCCCAAGGGAATCGGCTCGTAGTGCCAGAACCACATGTGGACTGTAAGCTATTCAAGTCATGATTTTGTTTCATGACCAGCATTGGGTTGGCTCAGAGCCTCAGATCTAAATTACTCCAAGTAGAGGGTGGTTAAG